TAAAAATTTATTTATTTTTCTGAAAATCCTCTCAAAGAAAAATTTCTAAAATAGTTAAATTACAATATATATTAAAATATTATAAATATATATTAACAATTTAGAATTGGTATCAATCAGATGTATAGTATATTTTTGTTCTTGATGATAAGAGACGTATTATTAGTTACTGGACTAATTATTAATTACTAAGAGTAAAAGAGATATTTTCTATCTCTTAATATCTTTTAAAAATAAAATAAAATAAATACAAAGGATAGGACAATGATTTAGATGGTTTGCCAATGATTGTTACAGAAAAAAGAAAAGGTTAATTTAATAAGAATAATTTTGAAAAAATAATTTATTAGAATTATTAACAAATTTAACACTTATAACTAAATTTTATTTTTCTTAAAATGTGTAATTTCGTAGAAAAAATATTGTGATTAAGAATAAAGATAATATAAGATTTGAAAGGATTTTATGAGATTTTTAAAAATAAAACATTTTTTAAAAATCGTATAATTAATAAAATAATATAATTAACGAGATCTAAATTAAAAAAAAAGTGACATCAATTCAACTTTTTCAATATTTTGCATTATTTTTTTACACAATCTTTCAATAGACATTAATAAATTAATAAATAAGAAAACAATTTGAATATTTTTTATATACTAAAAATTTTATATACTAAAAACTAGTTGATTTGAGAAGAGTATTCTATTTTTTTTTTGTAATAATATTGGGCCAAAGTATTCACCATTCAAACAATGACTAATATTTCTCAGAGATCATAAACGCACACGTAAGGTTAATATCTCTCTGAACAAAATTTATTTTATACTGAATATTAGAATTCAAATATGAATATCTTGTGTTACTATCACTTATATAAACTAAAATTGTTTGAAAGTGTATGCTCCATACATTACGGTGTATCAGAACAATTAAAGAATGAAAAACAAAAAAAATATGTCATGGTGCTAAATTAAATTGGCTTTTGTTTTATTAGAAATGTAAGGCATTGAATATGTAATATTGCGAATTAAAAGCAGCCATTTATACCATATTGTCCACATTATATATGGTGTGCTTATAAAAACGATAGTTTCATTCGATAAATAGCAACACTCCTCTTCAGCATTCTAAGTGATTTTTTTCCCCATATTGTGTATAGTTCTTTTATTTTCTCGTGATCAAATTCTTGAATATTGTATCATGTCTCAAGAGAACTAACTATGGTAGCTTTAATTTACAGGTTAGAAACAAAAATATGAATCTCGTTCTTCTTATCTGTGTCATTCTTTTCTCAGGTTTGTTTTCTTCCATTTACACGTCTCACATGTATATTTTATATCAACAGTTTTCCATGAATGTCACCACCACTCACCAGAAATATAATTTCTCAGCTGTACTTTAAATCTTTAATTTACCAGCAAAACGAGTTTGCCTTGGAAGCTTTATTATTTGTCAAACATAAGCAGGGATATCAATCACTATTACCACTGCTTTTTGATTTTTTTTAAAGTCAAATTAGCAATCAATTAAAATTGATAATGTATTATAAATAAAAAAGTACCATGTTTGAATCATAATTATGTTTAAAATTTGTATAATTAAATATTTTTAAATATATAAATTATATTTTAGATTCGTAATAAATAATTTATATTATAATATAAGATTGTTTTTATAACTTATTTTAAAGATTTTAAAATTTAATCCATAAATAATTATCGTAAGTAAAAATCAAATTAGATAAAAAATTAAAAATTATAATGAATTCTTTAATTGAAAAAAAATTACTAAAATATATTCTTATACAAGATAGTCGTTTAATATATAAGAGTTGATTTTATATTTTTATTTTTCTTCAAACAATTTGTTCAATATTTTTATCCAAACATTTTTTAGTTTTGATTAATTTTTTTTAGAAATTATAAATTTTGATACAAGAGTACAACATACAATTATTACATAATTTTTTTTCTCACCTTAATTTTTTTATGTATGAATTTTTTTTAATTAAATTAAGGAATCAAAAGTATTTTTTTAGAGGAATATTAATGCACTCTCCTTAATAATTTTCATTATTGATATTGAAAATCATATTTTTATGGGTCACACATGCATCTTAATTAATAAGTTTTTTTTTTTCTCGATTTAATACTAGAATTTTTCAAAATTTGTGATTTTTAATTAATAATCAATCCCCATATATATATATATATATATATATATATATATTTAAAATAGAATTTATTTATATATGTAATTTATTATAAATTTTAGT